TTTTATTTTTGAATAAAATATAAATATGAAGATATCATAAAAAAATATTGATATTATTATCAGACTAATTATTTAAAATTTCTCGTTCTTTTGTGTATTATTTAATTCATTTTTTTTATTTTTCGTTTGATAATATATTTTTTATAAAGATTATAATTAAGTATTTTGTTAACACTCAATAAGTATTCTAATTATATTTTAGTTTTTTATATTTAAAATGATATGTTTATTCTTTATTTGTTCATGTTTATCTGAAGTTAGTTACACGAGTTCAAATATGAAGCTTTAATAAGTTGTACTTACATACAATTTACTTGTAATCTTGAATTTCAAGTAATATGCATCGATAAACAGTACTTAATATATAAAAAATGGTTTTTAAGAGTTTTTGTCAAATGATTTATAATATAGTATATATACAATATTTTTTATGTTTTTAAAGAAAAAAGTAAAAGGATAATATTATCCCTAACTTAACATATTAATCATTAATGTAGTTAAGATAAGAGACATAATCCATAACAAAAATGAAAACCATGATGATCATCATATATGTAATTGTAATTTTCTATAACCACTAGAACAAAATATGTAATTTACTCAAAAGATATTATCTTTTAAATTATTGGACTTTTATTTATGTCTTATAAACACCAAATTTAAGATTTCAAATAAGTCATTAAAATACAAATAGAAACAATTTATATTTTGTTTATATGCAATTTACTTTTTGTACTAAATGCGTAAAGTTAAGGGGTTGTTTGGCAGTTGTTGAATGATTTGGTGCAGAATAATTAAGTGATCAGAATTATTAAGAGACTCTCATGATATAGTGAAAAATAAAATATAATTATTTGGTAATTGTTTATAATGAAATTAGAGCGCTTAATAGTTAAGAGACCCATGATACAAAAAATCATTCAGAGAATTTTTTAACCATTAAGAGAAATACTTTTTTTTTTGCCAAACAAGATCTACCTCTTAATGATTTAGAGACTCTCTCTTAATGGAACTATTAAAATGTAAATAAAGAACGCAACAATTTACTTTTCAATAAAAAAAAATATTATAATATTTTCCTTTATTAATAATATAACAATGTATTTTTATTAAAACAAAGTATTTTGAAAAATATACCTTTTGTTACAAGAAGTAAATTGGTGATTGAATTTTTAATGGCATGCATAACACAAGTTAACATGTTTTGAGTGTCCACATATACCTATTAGACTCTTGGCATGAATTTTTTTTATAAGATTTTAATTAAACATTTTACAAATATATTTATAAATAATCATAATTTCATTAATTAAACATTTTACAAATTAAAAATGTAAACAAAGTATACAATAAGCTCTCGATTGGTTGGACGTGGTTTGTAATGACTAGTATCGTAAATATATGTAAGCGAATAAATAAAAGGTTTATCACTGTATAAAAATATTCAAAATACAATTTACAATAATTATTGTATAAAAATACAATTGTTATTTTTTATATTTTGCCATTTTAATAACTAAAAGCTATAATTCCTTTAAAAAAAAACTAAAAACTATAAATAAAATCAAATATAAATGGGTTGTTCATTTTTCCATGCCTGTCTTAAAAATCATTATAGGAAATCGGACCTACATTCAGGGCCCAAAAATATCAGGGGCTCAAAATTTTCCATTAAAATACAATAGTAGTATAAAAGAATTTAATAAATTAAAGAATCCAAAAAATTGTATAATATAATAAGAGACAAAAAGAATTTAGTAGATAATAAGAGCCCAAAAATATATCAACTAATTACATTGGAGAAAAAAATATAAAAAAGTAATTGGTAATTCATTATAAGCTATTATTTATTGTCTCTCTAATTTTTTTTATCTCCAACAAGGTCCAATGATATTGGTTATTGTTATCTCTATATGCTTGATTGTTTTCGTGTTTCAACAATTTAACGTTAAGATCATATGTTTGTTATTGCTATATATTTTTGTTTGATATTTTTTATCAATTCTTGCTTCTATTGACTATTGTTATTTGGTTATCTTGTTCTAGTTGTCTTTGTTGACTATTATTATATATTTTTTGCTTCTACATAAAATATTTTACTATTGTTTGACAATCAATCTATTGTTTTTAATTTGTGACATGTTTCATGATTTTGTGATTAATCAATAAACTTTTTCTACTAGATGTATTTAGTAATGTCTTTTATATATCATGTTCCATAAACTTTTAATCTTAACATCTTATTTTAGTTGAGCAAAAAAAATATAATTTAAATATTTTCATCAATTGTTTGACTTATGTATCTTTCATTGGGATTTCACCACACCACAATATTCTATTTAAGTGCTCAAACAATCATTTGTTGAGCTTACATATTATATGTATAATTCATTATTTATTCTTATTGGATCTCATCTTTTCTTTCATATTCTTATTGATCATCATTTGTCTATAGTCGTACGGGTTGGTTCTTGGAGTGAGAATCCATCTTCTATCAAACAAGTTGTTTCTTGTCACTTTTGAATATGGTTTGAAAAGACTGATACTCTAAGGCCTACTTTCTCAAGCATGAATTTCTCAAGATGATGTCTTGTTTCTAACCTTTTCTTTTCTTTTCTTAATTGCTGCTGAAGGCTTGAACATCGCTTTGCGTGAAGCTGTGGCAAAGGGTTGTTTAAGGGAGTTGAAAATGGGTATCCAGAAACTAAAGAGTTGTTTGGTTCATGGATTTGGATGAAATTGAAATGAATTGGAATGGTCAAATCTTTTGACCAAATTTCAAATACAATGTTTGGTTCATGGAATAAAACTGATGAAATCCTTTCAATTCCAATAAATTCCTTGACTCACAGATTTTTCATTCCATGGCAATGCTCTCGGATTTCAATTCTTTTCCGACAAATTTCTTCCCTAATCCAAATTCATTCAACGTTGCGTCTACCATCTCATCTAATTGATCTTTGGTTCGATTTTCATCTGGTACGCTCTCTCTCTCTCTCTCTCTCTCTCTCTCTCGTAATTTCTCCATCTATACGAGATCGATAGACAACATATGTAATCAAGGAATCGATTCAAGATAACTAGCTATCGATATCACTAGTCCAATTTCTTTATTCAAAAATCATAAAAGGTCATTTGTTGATATTTAATTCCGATTCCAAAGTTGAATTATGTGAACCAAACAAAAAAATTCCAATCCGTTAAGAATTTCATTCCAATTCCATGCAACCAAACGCAATCACAAGGACATGGTCAAATTCCATCAAATTCCATTCCATTCCCTCAAATTCAAATTCAAATTCATTTGATGAATTCCAATTCCACCGAATTTCATTCTACGAACCAAACGCCCCCAATGGTTTCTCACCTGCGATTGGAGCACTTGTAATATTAGAAATGCTTCGGGCTTAAAGTAAACCTGTCTAAAAGCAAGCTTTTTCGGGTTGGGATCTCGCACTCGGAGGTCGATTTTGTTGCTCATCGTTTCAAAGGTTGTGTAGGTAGGGTACCGTTTATATCCCTTGGTCTTCCGATGGGTAAATGCATGAATAAGGTGGAAAGTTGGCGACAGATTGTTGAAAAGTTCCAACAGAATTTAGCCATTTCGAAATCCAGTCTCCTCTCTTTCGGTGGTAGGCTTATTCCTGTTAATAGTAAATTAGTGTGGAGTGATGGTACATGGGTTATATATGAATTGGAGTTGGCGATGTAATCGCACGGGGAGAGCCATTGAAGAGTTAAAGAGAGTACGTCGGAGGTTTTTGTGGGTAACAACGGCCCCCCTACTTCTAGCCATGATAATTGGATTCGGATAGGATATTCTCTGTTACATCCGTCTTTTCTATGGTCGATAATTCGACCCTTTGTCTTCGCTCCTCAGTTCTTTCAACCCATTGGAACAAGCTAATTCCTCGCGAAGTTTGTGTTTTTATTTGGAGACTGAATCTTAGGATGACTCTGGTGTGCGTATTCGTTTTTTATTTGGAGAATGAAACTTAGAACTCTGGTGCGCGTATTGCTCAATCAAATGGATATTGACTTGCATACCACTCTTTGCCCGAGATGTGGGTAAGAGGTTGAATCTATGGATCACTCTTTAGTTATGTGTGAGTGGGTTAAAGTTGCTTTGGTTGAAGATCTTCGCGTGATGGGGGCTCAACTTGGTTCTAGTAAATTCGTTATAGGATATCTTTGGGCTGGCTGATCTCCACTGTATCCCTATAGTAATGCGGGTTCGATGGCAAGCGGTTGTTTGGGTTTCTTTATATATGATCTAGAGTTCTCGAAATAAGGTAGCTTTTGGAGATCGCTCGCCTCTCTCGATTGATATTCTCTTTGAAACCCAGCTTGCTTTGTACCTCTGGATCTCTAAGAGGGATAAGCTTTTCCCGACCTCCTGGTCTAGGTGGTGTTGCATCCCGACTGGATGAGTTCTTGGTGGTTGGTGTGGAGTGTTTTTCCTTCCATTCCCTTCCCTTCATTTGCAATATATTAATGTCTTTCAAAAAAAAATATAGGTTCTTGACTCAAGTTAGACGGACCTAGAGGGGTGGTTCGGTGGCACGTGCCACCGTATTGTTCCTCCGTGGTAAGGTAAAAAAAATAGGTTCATGAACAGTGCAACCGTTTTATTCTAGAAGGTGCAACCGTTTTATATGGTGCCACCGTATCCAAAAGTTTTTGGGTCCGTCCCTACGCAAATAGAAGTTATGTTAAGATATTTAAATCATATAATTATGGCTTGAAACTCGAACATATTAATCAATTTATTTTTTGATTTTCAAGTAAATCAGTTCAACATAATGTTTCTTCCTATTTTTAAATTAAATTAATATTAATTCTTTGTTTTTTAAATATTTATTCCAAATTTCATGACAAATAAAAGATTAGATTAATAGAAATTCAATTAACATGATCAACCCACCAGCTTTTTCAAAATAAACAGTAACTACCGCTCTATTTAAACCGGACATTTCACCACCACCACCACCACCACCATCATGGACACCACCGTCACCGGATCCTCTGAATTCATCAAAGTCTTCTCCGACGGTACCGTGGAGCGTTTCATACCCGAAACCGCTCCGGCCTCTCTTGACTTGTACAAGGGCTACAAATGCAAAGATGTGACCATAGATCCATTAAAGCCAATAACGGCAAGAATTTTCATCCCCACCACTACCGCCACCGCCACCTCCAAGCTGCCATTGCTACCGGTCTTGATATATTTCCACGGCGGTGGTTTTTGCATTGGCTCCACCACATGGCTAGGCTACCACCATTTCCTCGGAGACCTTTCCGCCACTTCCGAATCCATCGTTCTTTCCATCGACTACCGTCTGGCCCCGGAAAATAAGCTACCGATTGCGTACGAAGACTGCTACACCTCTCTCATTTGGTTAAGCCAACAAAAACTGACCGAATCCTGGCTCAAAAATGCCGATCTTTCCCAGGTTTTTCTCTCAGGAGATAGTGCCGGAGGAAACATAGCTCACCAAGTAGCCATTAGAGCAATTCGGGATAAAGAATGTCTGGTCAGAGTCAAAGGAATATTACCGATTCACCCCTACTTCGGTAGCGAGAAGCGGACCGAGTTAGAGACGAAAGACGGGTCAGCTGAAGAGGTCAAGTCCAACGATATGTTTTGGAGGCTGAGCATACCCGAGGGCTCGAACCGAGACTATGAGGGCTGCAACTTTGAATGGATGCAGGTGTCTCTGACAGAATGGAGCCGGTTTCCTAACGTTCTCGTTTTTGTAGCAGAGTTGGATTTCTTGAACGAAAGGGGAGTAGCGTATGTCGAGTTTTTGAAGAAAAAAGGCGTAAAAGTGAAGATCATTGAGACCAAAGACGAAGCACATGTTTTTCATGTATTTCACCCTGATTCTGAATCAACCCGTGTGCTACAAAACCAAATGAAGGAGTTCATACACAGCCTTTGAACTCTTTGGACTCATTAAACTATAGAAAAGTTCATGCTATGGAATTGAATATCGTTCCATTCAAAAGAAAAATAACGAATTACGAAACTTATTCAACAATTTAGGTTATGATGAAGCTTTTTACATACCTAAAGGTGAATCTAATGATCGAAACCGCTCATGAAACCGCCTACAAAGCCGGCTCCATTGCAACCTCCGCATAGCATTTCTTTCCTTCCTCTGCAAGAAGAATGACATGACAATAACATAAATCAGACGAGGGATAAATCGACAACTCCCATCTTTATTTTTCTTGAAGTTAACAGTCGGGCAAACCCACCAGTAGCCGTGACCTCTGGGGTCTTACTAATTGAGCTACCTTTAAGGGTTTAGCTTTATTTTTCTAACTTCTGAATCGAATCATAAATAACTTGACTTGAAATTGTAACATACTCAACAAAGAAACAACCAACGATGGCTAAACATAAGCAAAAACACAAAGAAAGATCAAGAAAATGAAATACAAGAGTCGGTATCCGCAAAGCCAACAGAAACTACACCAATACAAAATCGCAATTTTCTAAGAGTTCTTGGTAACATCGGTCTCAAGACTTGATTCGGAACATTCTCAAAAACAGAAACCACGGTGTTGGACAAGTTTATAACGAAACCAAGGAAAATTACCTAAACAAGATTGAACATTTTTGGGCAAAATGCAACTAAGTTTAGTTTTGTTCCTACTCAGTGTAACGCTTAATCGATGTAACGAAGTTTCAAACTTTCCTATGTCGTACCTATTTTGATTGACAATTTGCATATCTTGTGACATTTGATGATGTATCTACACTATTAAAAAGCATGAGTTTACACAAACTTGTGAGGAGTTCCATCTTTTATCCACCTAAACGGATATGTGATTGTACACTCGATGTTTGCTCATCTTCAAACATTATATGCATTTCAAAGTTCCTTAATGCTTTGTAAATTTTCTTAAAATTTTATTTTTGTCCCTGGAACAATTAGTCATCATATTTGTGTGTGAATACATACATATATATATATATATATATATTGTTACTAATTATGGTAATTTTATATTTGTTCAAACATAAGTATCACATTTTTTTTGTTGAAGAGTTGGCTTTAATTTTTTGTAATTATAGTGAAGGCTTGTATTTGATCTGATGTACGCGAATCTTTGTTATATATCGTATTAATATAACTACAATAAAGGGCTTTTGTTTTTGTACGCATGTCTTTTGATGCATATATACATGTATATATAATTATACATAAAACACAAGAAAAAAGTAAAATGTCTTTGATCTGATGATCTCTACAATATAGTTCTAAATTTCTTCTCAATTGTTAGCTTGTTTGATTTAAGCAACGAGGGTAGTTTTAACCTCAGGCTAGCTAAAGATAGCCAGTTCTTACATTCTGCTGCATTGCAGCGGGTATATAACTAGTATATATTAAATAGGTAAAGAGGTAGAAATTTTGAAACTTTTAGGAATTAAGGCAAACTTCGTTGCATTTTGTCCAATACAAGAAAGATAGAGAAAACGAGGAAAGAAATAGTACCCGCAAAGCCAACACGAGTCCCCAGCTTTAAATTGTCCGTTAAAGAAATCTTCGGGGTTAATACCACTACCTTTGCATTGTGAACATTGAACCGCACCTGAAATTTAACAATGCAAGTGAAACGTTGTGCCTGCAATATGTACTCCAAACAGAAGGGGTACAGTGATCAAATATTTTCACCCATAAATGGATGAAAAGGATTGGGAAAACCTTCATCAGAGAACACCCAAAAAGTTCTGAAACCACATTGTAATGTGTAAATTTCGGCTTTCCATTCATATCTTCATCGCATTTGAACATGAATGCACACGTTAAGAAGCAAGAAACACAACTATGTGCATCTGAAATCCAATTGATTCCTTAAAGACCCACAGGTGTCTATGAGGTATATTCTATAACTTCTCAAGAAATACTACAATATGCTCATACATTTTCATCTCAAACTGAGGATAGAGGTCAAGTCTGCATAATCTCAAGCCCCCCAATCTACCTCTGTGTGGGATACACTTTGCTCTTTTGGTTTGCTTTACATTTTCAATCCAAACAAGCAAGAGTCGTGCTGAATGCAGGATCAAAACATCACAGATATTTCAAACCACTTGCAAACATGAAAACGGGTACAAGATTGCGTAAATTTCGGCATTTTCTTATTATAGCCATTGCATGTGGCTGAGTTTAAATGTAAACATGCACGTTAGGAAGCAAAGAACTCAAGGATGTCAATTGGAAATTCCAATTGATTCCCTGAAAATGCTAAGTGTGAAACAAATACCTTCTATAATGTAACACCCATATTTCTTCCCCATTTTCTTCTACCGTTCGCATCAAGGGTTTTCGTCTCTTTTGTAAGGTACGCGTTTTCATGTATATTAGGAGCTTGGAGCATTTTTTTCTTTATTGGGTCTTTCAAAAGAAATTATATATATGTGTACATATATATTGTGACTGTTATGTGTGGTGGTGGTGTGTAAGAAAAAAAAGGGGGGGGGGTTAGTTAGCTGCTACCTCTTAGCTAGCCTTGGGAATGATCCCTCCTTTTCTTTTTGGGTCATTACCTGTTATTTTTTTCTTTTGGTAGGGAAATGGGAAAGTGAGTAGGGGAGGGCTTTACCTGGTAGATGAAGGAAGGGTGGAGGGTTGCTTCACGGCAGCAAAGAGGATTAAAAGAAAGAGGAAAAAG